TTTTTTTACTAAAACGCAATTATTTAAGACAAAAAACAAGATTTTCTAATGAAATTGCCATGGATTTACTGCTAATGGAGCACATCAGAAAAATAACTCATTTGGAATTTTTATTTTTAGTATTCTCTTGTGTGCAATCAACCTATAGTTTTCACATTGCAAGAAAAAAATACAAATCATGAAATTCCCATTTCATCCAGGGAAAACGTATGCAACTAATGACTTTAGGAACTTAACTAACGGGAATATAACGGTTGGGTACTTCTTTATGTGGTGCATCAAATGATCTTGACGAAAATTTCGACCAATAACGGTCTGTCCGAGTTCGCCCCTACAGTCCGACTTGTATGAATGACCCGTAGGTACTCAAAATTTCTTCTGCAATTCTCGTACAAGTCAGAGTACTTTACATTTGCACAAGTTTAAATACTAAAATAACTTAGAGCAAAATAGGCTTAAAAGTATCATACAAACAAACATTCATATGTTCGGTTCTAGTTCGAGTTTCCTCGCTCTCCTCCCTAATCTGTAAGTATTTCGTGTGCATCTAGTGGATCTATTTCCTGTTGAGGAAAGTTGATAAAAATCTAGCATTTTTTCGACTATTCGTGAATACGCAGATTATTTCAAAAGATCCAAAAGGGGATTCACTCCACTTCCTTAAAATACTGTCTAACTGTTTTAGTGCTTAGTGTGTTGAAGTAATCTTAATTCTACAGGGTAAACCAAATCTGCTAGATGACCAAATGAAAAAAACGTTAGTAGAAACTGAGAGCGGGCAAAAATAAGAATAAAAAATGAGAAACAAACACAAAAGCAATGGGGAATCACGAATCTCGAGACAGTCGCGTGACTGGCGGTCATAATTCAGGAATTAAGTATGCCGTTATGATATGCGGTCTTCAGGAAATGAATTTATTATTTGGACGGGCTAATTTTTTCTCTCCTCTTTTTCCTTTTAATTATTATTGGAGTAGCTCACGGGGCGATTGTGGCGTGATTCGTATTAGGTTTTTCAATCAGCGCTGAGAGCGCCTGTTTAAGAACGAAGAGCAATATTTTCTTCCTGCGATCATTGATTTCAATAGCTAATATCCATCCCCCTTATAGCCGAGATGCTCTATCAGGAAATCAAGATGCCTAAAAATCGCAACTTGTTGCCCCCTGAAAATCTGCGCGATAAAGCCATAACATTCCCATGGGAATGGATAGATACGTTTTTGCATGACAGGGCAGAGGCTTTCGCGAACCAAAGTTCTGCTGAATCATTTTCCTGCGATTACAAAACAAGTGCTGAAATGCTGTTGCCACTGCACTTTTCCGTAATTTATGGTGTTTGGTTGCACGACGTTCTGCGTCTTTCGAAAGAATCATACATACAAAATGATTAATTTTCATCCCTTGAAGATTGAGAAACGGTCATGGTCTTCCAGCCTTTTCAATAACCCCGTCCTGATGAGTCCAATTTACGACGGATTTATGTAACGATAAACAATGTGGGCAAAAGACATCATAGTGCGGAAAACGGAAAGTGAATATACCCACGGGTAGGAGCATTAAATATAAATTTCGTTCGGGTCCACGACTATCAATCACTTTTGTAATTTGACCGTTCAGCAGTTTTTTTCCCTGAACAAATGTCATACACGATGATGAAAAAGATGCTTAACGATAACGGAAATAACGCTTGTAATTCGGGGGATATTTTTTCCTGTTCTTTGTTCCGGAATATATGGAATATGGATCGGGCCGCTCTTTCAGTGTTGTTCGTTTCGTAGCCGGAAAAACCACCATGAAATTTTGATGCGACATCAAATGGGTTCGCATACTTATTCGATTTACACTTATATCCATAGTTGTCGTGGAAAATCGTTGGAAAGAAATTAGACTTCCATCTAATCTATGTTTTCGAACATTGTATTCTGATGTGGATTTTAGACTTAAGGATTCTGGACTGCGCTACTTGCATCAGGAATTTTTCCATCTGGGTTTGTTTCAATAGTTGCTCACTTTTTAAATTGGTTTACCAGGCGTTGCTTGTGGTTTTCAACCAATTTTTCCTCTTTGAAATGCACTACTTTTCCCGAGGTATTTTTGCAGTCAAAACCTGACAGAGAAAAAATTTAATCTACTTTTTTTCCTTCTGGGCACCAGTGCTAGACCATCATTTTTGTTACTCTTCAAGGCACAATATTGTGCTTTTCTTCGGATTCGTGATTTTAGGACTTCTATCCAATTCACCCGCATTCCTAAACATTTGCAGGAGTAATTCCTGATAGCAAAGCCAGTCAGTTCTTCAGTGCACAAGCCTGATAGTTTGCCCGGCTATGTTCCAAATAAACAAACATCTGCATCAACAAATATCTGCAACGTGTCCTATCTGGTACCAAGGGCCGATTCAAATAATTTCTGCGTTCCAATTGGAATAATTCTAACGTGTTCGCACGTGTTGGCCAAATGGCCAACGACTACAACAGGCCGACGATGTTGATTTTACGTGCTCTGGCTGGATGCATTTGCTTAAACAAATATTCAATTTTGCCAGTAATAATCGTAATGGAGAAATATCCTGCTTGGATGCCGTCAGAATGGAGAAAGGGACAACGAGGATTGCCGATAGGAATTATCCTTTTGATTATGATTGGTGCCAGCAGATTGCCCAACTTTGTCGAAATTTGTTCGATTTCTCTGTCTGCCAACTCTTATCAACCGCATTGATTGTTGTTATCAGGCCTAGCCCAGGATTTTGCGAATTCGTGCAAGGTCAACTCATAAATAAATTGTTTTTACATCCGTTATCGGGCATAATTTGCAAAACACGGCAAACAATGAGTCTCTGTTCGGTTGCAATTGCGTGAATTTTCTCCGAGTATTTTTTGTGCATTGGGTTCGTTCAAATTTTATATTCACATCTTTGAGGTTTTTTAAATATCTGAATGGTCTGGCTTATTTCAAATGCAAGTTAATCTTGTAGGTACATTTGTGACAATATTCTGCACAAACTTAAGTTCACACAAATCACTGGGTTTTCATAGCTTACATTGGATTACCGGATTTCATTAAATTTCTCAAAGCCAAGGTAAAATGTGAAAAAATCACTAGAAGTTTCCAAGTGAATCAGTGGCCGTTGCATTAAAATCACTTTTTTTGTTCAAGTTTTCATACAAAATTGGGGGGCCAATTAACACAGCTTAACTTCTGTAAGTGTTTGTGTTCCGAATTTCACTACAATCGAATGAATGATTGAAAACTGATGAAGAAAGTAGAATTTTTTTCTAACGGTCTGAATCTTTGAAGCGAGGCGATTTAGAGATTTTTTTTCTATCATGTAGACATTATTCAAACATGTTCTATTGATTTCCGAGGTTTCCAAGATTAAACCTGAATCACCCAGTAAATTTTGTGGAATTCGTTCGATTATACCCATAATCGAACAGTGCGATTGTCTCCTAATTCACCAATTCAATCGATGCAAGTAAGACAGGAGAAAAAGAACATTTTTGGATTTCAAAATTTACAAAGTGCATCCAATATCGCATTCGATAACTCGTTTCAGTTGCCAACATTCATGCCGTTTATATCGACTGTTTGCAATCAATATCCTCTAAATCTCCTGAAGTTTATGGTCGGTTTTTGGGCTTTCAATTCTTCATTTCTGCAAATTGCAACTTTTTCATAAATGTAGCTACAATTCGTGATCATGACTCACATCAGAAACCAACTGAACGAATAGAGAGAATCGGAAGAAAATCCGTTTTGCAGTGAATTGACAATGATAGTGAATGAGTGAAGAAACTTATGCTGAGAGTTTTAAGCCCAGTTTCAAAAAAAATTGCCATAATTGAAAACATTATTTAAGAATCTGAGCAAGCACATAGCCTAAAAGAATGGCCAAAGCAACAAACAGAAAGGACCAGAAAATAAACACATTTCTTGGCAACAATGTATTTTGAAAACTCCACAAAAAGTGTTATGGTTTTTCGCATCAACTTTCTCCAAAATTTTCAAATGGATATCACATCTCGCCATCTCCGGGAGTTCCAAAGTTGTCTCAATTGTAAGCAAATGGCTCCTTAAACAAACAGAAATTCCTCACCTGAGTAGAGTACGGCTGCAGACTGAGCTTGACGCCATCCTGCGCCAGCTTCTCCTTCAGCAAGCCTTTGAGCTGCATCTTTGGAATCTTGACCAGTTCGGCTTTGCCCTCCTCATATTCGTCCAGATACCTCGCGACCTCCTCTAAAGGAGCACTGGGTGCTTTTTCACTGCCCGATGTGCGCGACCCGATACTATGCCGATCCGTTTCACTGTTACTGGCTGAACTCAGAAGGTTCTGATCCGTTGGAGGTGGCGCTTCCTCCGTGCAGCCGATCGTACTTTTCTCAGCCTCCTCCAAGCTGAAGTAGACACTGGCTGCGCCTTCTTCGCGAAGAGTTCGCACACTTTGCAAGAGACGAGCTCGATGTGCCGGATTGAAGACGCCGATGGCATCCAGATCTGGATCGCCGATCTGTTTGCAGATCTCCAGATCGTCATACCCGTTGTCGATGAAACTTTCAGAATATTGGCCTAAACGCAGCGACTTGAGCCATTCGGTTACGATATTGGTGGCCATTTGGACTGGATTCATTCTGCGGTTCTTTTGCACCTGGTGCTCTTTAACTGGATGATGGCATGGTTCGGCTGGTTTTGCTAAATACACAACGGGATTTGCTTAATTTATTCTGCCGGCGCTGGCGCTTTTTTGGACATTCTTGGCAGGCTTCCCTAGAAACAGTTCAGTTCCGTCAAATATTTCGTGAACAAATCGGAACCATCGGCCAAGCAAGGACGTCGTTCGCCCGCAAGAAAGAAGTTGAGACACCTGATGGGGATCAATGAACCAAACCAGAAGGTGGTGTCCCTGAAGCCAAGAATGTTTGAATAACTTTGTTTTGTTTGAAATAAAATCGCCATTCACTGTCAGTCGCGGCGCTAAATATTTAGACTCGATGGATTGATAGATTTGGATAAAATTTATCTTCGCGACTCTTCAACCACATGCGTTCCGCACAGGGACGGTGGCCAGTGTGGTTTTTTAATTGTGGCAAATCATGCGAATTATGCGGCAAAAAGTCACAGATCACTGAAGCGAAAGAGTGCGCAACCATTACACAACCAATAAAACCAGTCGGAAAGTTTGAAGAACGTTCTTACTCATTTTTATCTGGAGTTAATGGACGCCATGAATTGAGCGCAAAGTTTACGAATTTGCTCGTAATTTGAGGATTAAATTTCCATGCGAGAAAATCCAAAGAATGCGATTAGGGATAAAATCGGCAGTCTGGAAATTGCGAAAATGGACAAATTGATGCAAATTGAAATCAGCAGTTGACTGAAGTTGCTTAATATTAAACTGTTGTTCTTCGACATGAAAGTGAACACTATTAACTCGACAGAGAACGTGTGCTTTTTCTAAGTATGTCTTTAGGGTTTTGCCTGATTTTATTCACTACGATCTCATTTTAGTATGAAAATCGGCTCAAAATCCAACGAGTTCTGAGCGAAAGAGTGCGGTGCATGCACTTAAGGTAGACAGCGATTGTCTTGTAACCGTATATAAATGTTGAATGTTGGTAAAGCAATTAAATAAATTACATAGACAAGTGAGGTGTGAAAACAGTTTTGCGGAAAAATGCAAAAACACAACCTTGGTTTGCAAAAGAAGCCATTTAATGAATTTTATCAGCTCGATTTATATTTCAATTAATTCGTTTAGCTGTACAAAAGAGATAATTAATCAGCACTGGGGAATATTGTTTGGCAATTATTTAATTTAGCTTTCCAATTAAATGTAACAATTTCGCTTGTCTGCCATACTAGACGAAATCCAATTTAAACCACATTGTCCGTTTTTGCTCCAGTACATTTTACCTACTTTAATGGGAAAATGCCATTTCAGTGCTCAAAAAAACATTATTTTTAATGTTTCCATTTGCCAGGCCTCCAAGAACGTCCAAAATGCCCTCAAATTCATCAATTTACCGGCAATTTTGAGTCGCTGCAATTTTCCAAAAAACAAGCGAAAAAAATTGTCGTGACACTTTCAATAACGGTTGTCCACAAGGCGCGCAAAAACAATCGAAAACTGACGCAACGCCTGTCAACCGGACAATGTTTACATTATTACAGCGTCGCGACGAGCATCTCCGATGACGTATTTCGGGACCGAAACGTCGCTTGAACCTGGCAAATAGGATGACGAGACTGGGGTCGAGATTCCATCGAGAAACCGGCCTGCGAAGACAAGAGACTAGCGGGGCGCGCGCTTTTTGCGCTGTTGTCGCTTGTTTGCGCGGAAAAATCCTGCAAAGTGACTCAGGAATTTCAAAAGGGCCCCTCAATGTGTGCTCTAAAGTTCTACAAGTTTTTTGCAGAAAGCTCAAGGTGCTTGATAAAGTTGAGCAAAATATAGACTTACGACGGTTTTCTTCTTCTAAACTACCAAAAATTTGGTTCTTTTTCCGGTATTTAATCACTTCACACCCTGTATTATTGGGGACAATTTTCTGAATTTTTAACAAATTATTTGGCTAGTTTTCTAATTTTTTTCTTTTCATTGTTTCTGGCCAAGGTGGCGGAAACCAATCTAGTTCTTCAACCCGGAAAGTTCAAAGTGGTGCTAACTTGCATTGGCTATTCATTTTAAGCAAAATAAAAAAAAACTAAATTCAAAATTAACGAAGCATAAATAAAAAGAATCAAAGTGCAATTAACTAGTGTGAACAATGAGCTTACGCTCGTGTAAATAATAATTGTCATAATAATTCGAGCAATTGAGCACAATTTCTCTCAAAATAAGTTTCTCCAAAAGCGCTGAAAGGCAACTTTTTCAATCGAAATCCGCGTAGAATGTGGCAGTTTGGCTTTTACGGAGGCGCCTAATGAGCGCATTGTTGCCATATTCTGATCGAATAGCAATTCAGCAGGTGTAAGGAAGAAGGTGGGTAAATATCGGAACAGGGTAATTTAGGACAGGAAGCAGCCCCAAAAAAAAATTTTGTGACTCAAACTGAAGTTGCCTGAAATGGTTGCGTCGTTTTCTTTTGAGAATTGTTTCTGATTTATCATGTCTTCTTCTAGTAGTAGGATTGTTGCCAAAAAAGATCAGGAAACTATGCACAAATATTTACAAAATTTACAATGCGCCGCAAACTTAACGCAAAGCTTGGCTGTGAATATTTTCTCAGTCGATGATCCGATTTGAATATGTTTTTTGTCGAAAAATAGCTCTATTTTTGGACAAATTTCAAGACATATTTTAAAACAATTTACACCAAAATTATTAATTAACATTACCTTTATTAATTTAAACAATGAGATTAAGTCAAAGTCACATAACTGACAATTTGCACAGACGTGTATTGTATTATCCTACTATTGTTACATAATTTATTAACATACTCTTTTTTAGGTTCATTTAGGTTCTTTTGATAACGATAGCAGAAAATAGCTAT